GGGGGGGGGGGGACGACTTCACTTGTAGAAAGTACCGTTTGTCACTAATGGTCATTGAATTGATCATCTAGACCTTCCACGACATCATTGTAGACGTCCGATCTTCTTAATGGTTTTGATGTTTATAAATAGAATGTAAATAGTGGCCCAGTGACATTTTTGTTACCTTGACATTACAACTGCAATTTATGTGTTCTAGTATGTGAACAATCTTCTGCAGAACATCTGCTTCTGTTTGTCAACTTGCTCCCTTTGCTTCTGTGCTACATTGATAATTTCTTATCCCAAATGATTCAGAGCTGGACACTTGTAAAAAGCCAAAGACTACTAAAGAACTAGATGAAATAAGTGCAAAATAAACTCACCTTCTAATAGAAGACGTCATCAAGGGAAATTGATAATAATTCACTAAAGCATTACGCACAGAAGATACCAAAAGCTAGTATGCACCAGGGCACACTGGTCTTCTTACATGCCATTATATGTTACCATTAAGGTACAACTCTCAAAGGATCATATATGAACCTATTACTTTACATATGGCTTCCTTCTTCAGGATAAATATTCTGGAGCTTAAGTTTTCATCTTTTGTCTTGTTTTATATTTTTTTTTTGTATTTCTACTTTTTCATTTCCTTGGATTTTGTTAACACAATCATCTTGCAGGCAGAGTCTTGCTAATGCTGGGAAAGGTGCAGTTTGATATCCAGAAGCTGATCGACAATTATGTGGGTTCTTATGCTATACATGTGAAACAATTTTCTAGTTTTTAATTTGTATGACTTATTCATGACCATCTCAAATTACTCTTTCAGCGATCACATATTTCTCAGACAATTACAGTTCCTTCAGAATCTCTTCTCAATGAATTGCGTGTAGTTGAGGTCTGTAGTTTGCTCCTGTTTTAATTATTACATGACATGCATCAATCTATTACTTCATCTTTCTAACAGGTTTCTAGTAGACCTTGATGATGGTTGATTGTACCAAGAATTAGAATCAGGTGTACAAACTCTGGAGATAGCACCTAGAAATGACATACATAATCTTTTATGCTATCACCTTACAAAGAAAATTATCATGAATTAATGTCTGCATTCTGTTTCATACCATTGCATATTACTTGTCAAAACTTTTGCTGGTGTTTATTTATTTATTTTTCATTTCTTGTCCATCCTTCTGCAGGAAATGAAAAAGCAATGTGATGAGAAAAGGTATGAAATGATTTGCCTCTTCCTGTTGTATATCGTTTAAGTTTGGTTACTGATACAAATTTATACCTTATATGTGTATCCCTAGGATGACATATGAAGTAATGAAAAAACAATATGAAAAGGGAAGGTCGAAAAGCAGTAAAGGAGAGTATGTTTCTTCTCGCCAGCTGCAATCAGCTCGGGATGAATTTGATGAGGAGGCTACCTTGTTTATACTTCGGATGAAGTCTTTGAAAAGGGGGCAATCTCGGAGTCTTCTAACACAGGCTGCTCGACACCATGCTGCTCAGGTTTTCAGCTCAATAATAAATGTTGTCATTTCCTATGTAGGAGGTTTATTGGCGTGTGGCAAAACTTCTTACATGTTAGAAAACAGATGTGTTTTTTCAGGAAGGCCCTCAAGTCTTTGGAAGCAATTGAGCCACATGTTAAATCGACCACTGAACAGCAGCATATTGATTACCATTTCAGTGGGCTTGAAGATGATGATAGGGATTCTGTTTTTCTTACTGATGATGAAAATGACGAAGACGAAAGTGATGATTACTATGATGGAGTTGAAGATGGCAGGAATGTTCAGAAGAATGAAGTTTCTAGCTCAGGAAACTCAATGGAGGCAAGAAGTTCATTTCCTGCTACTGACTCAAAAAACTCTAATACTTTCTGCAAAAACTTTTATGGCATCGGCTAAACATCCTTTTCATATTTCTTTCATTTCTGCAGTTGGATAATGAAGACCTTACATTTCCGAAAATTGGTTCTGTGAACTCAACACAGGTAAAAGAAGCTTATCATTCCAGCAAGCCTTCAGCTTTTACATTGAGATGTTTCTTTATTTAGGAAGAAATACTGTTATCTTATTACAAGTAACTAACAGATATATTTAGGTATACATCCTTAAATGAGATTTTATTAACATTAATGACTTTCCGATGAGTATAAACTGTAGGAGGCCATGAATTTAATTGAAATCTCATTTAAGGTTGTATACCTAAATGACCCGTTTATAACATATGCAAGAAATTTGAACTTAAAATAACAAAGCATGCTCCATTGAATATATAATGTGTGTATGCTAGTAAAGTAGATGTTAAACCCCCCATGGACCTTTTAATGTGGGACAGGATTGAACAAAAACTTCTTGTCCCATGTTTGATACGATATTAGACTTGGACATGACAGGATTGAGTGAGACAAATGCATTTATTTGTTCTTTGGTGGAACAAAAAGGTCAGGAAGATGTGACAAGATTGGTAAATTACTAAACTATCCATATCAAATCAAAACCCCAAAACCTTGCACAATTTTTTCACCCATCAACCTCACTATCGCTCGTTCAGTCCTGTTTGCATATCAAACGAACCCTTAGTAGGGAGGAGTCGTTCTCATTAGCTGGAAATGATGTTCTTCCCCATCTTTTCTTTTGTTCAAATACTTTACTGTATTCAATTTGCTACATCCTTTTCCTATTTTCACGCCACCATATTTTGGATTTGCAGACAAATACGTACAGAAGAACTTTCTTGAACACAGGAAGCAAATCCGCTCCACTTTCTGCAGAGACTACTTTTGATCCAAATGAAAGGTATCGGCCACGAAAGCTGAACACGTATGTTCTCCCAACCCCACTTGAGAAGAGTTCAGCTCCTTCAAGAACTGAAACCCAACATCCTCAACAGATACCACCAACTAATACTAATATGTGGCATTCATTGCCATTAGAACAGAAAAATTACGAAAATATTTTCAAAAAGGAAAACAATTCACGACCAATTGTCTCAAACGATAGTAAACCAACTCCAGTAGCAGAAGCACCCTCCTCGGTGCAACTTGATTCAGGTCCTGCTTCTACTTCCAAGAAAATCAAAAGAGATGTTTTTTCTGGACCGTTGATGGGTAAAATCAAACGAGATGCTTTCTCTGGTCCATTGATCGGTGGGTTTCAGTCAAAGCCCCTGTTGTCTACTAGTGGTTCTATTGGATCAACAACAAACCATCTGCCTTCTTCTGCTCCTCCCTTCCGCACTACATTGACTCAGCCATCGGAAGTTCATGTTAGTTCTGTACCGTTACCTATGATCAGAGAACTCCACGAACTCCCAAGACCTCCTCCTGCAAATATAGCCTCTAATAAAACTTCAAAAGTTGGCTTCTCGGCCCCCTTGGTGGCATACAAAGGCGATATTGATGATTCAGCAGCAGCATATACGCTTCCATTACCGTCCTCAAAAAGTCAAAGAGAAACTTGGAAGTTAAGGGGAGATGAGTCACCTCCTCTATCACCAATCACCTTTAGAAACTTCTAGTTCTAGTTGCAGTCCACCTTGTTGGATTATAGGTATATAACTACACTTTTATTTATATCTTCCACATGTATATGTTTTATATATGACATATGGTAGAATCCATTACAGGATTACTTAAAATTTTAACTAGCTTTATAGCATTTCATGGAATAGCACTCTCTTGGTTTTGTGGGCCAATCTTGTCTTGCACATTTTCTAAGCAGGATTATCTCCATTGACACGTAATCATTTAGAACCAATATATTGTACAAACTTACAAACCAGTTATCATGTGTTGTTTCGAAATAAAACATGTGAAAATGTGGGGTGGTTTTGTATATGGATTGTATACCCACTCACTGTATATACACATGAAAACTAGGGTGATGCTTGTATTACTTACTAATTGAGCTTTCTGTCCAATTGGCGTCAGAGTCAGGTAACATATAATTTGGTGCCACTGAATCCGTCTATATAAGACTTCAATTTATAAACAGAGCAACATTTCTAGATTTACAGGATTTTAGAAAGAAGTCAGTTCCAAACTAAAATTTCAATCCATTTGGCTCTCGACTCTCTCTTTTCCTGTTTTAAGGATGTAACAACAGCTATTAAGAGAGAGATTAAATCAGGGAATCGACTATACAAAAGAGGCACATATATATAAATGGTGCTTCTATTCTGGGCACAGCCTTTATAAATGGTGCTTCTATTTTGGACACAGCCTTTCTAGAGCCATGCTTTCATCACCCCCTACAGCTTCCAATGTCTTCTTTACCAATGGTTCTGGAAACCCCATTTCAACGAGCTTCTGCACCTGCAATCAACAATTCGTTGCAATTCAAGTTTTATTCTTTTAAACAATCTTTTGTTGTCAAGATACAATAAACAATCAATGGGTCATTGACCCAACGGTTCCCGGGGAAGGGACGGACTAAGTTGGTGCATGTGGTGGCACGGGCCACCGCTTCATTACTCCGTCGTGGTGTAAAAAATTATAGGGTCGTGAAAAGTGCCACTGTATATATTTTGAAACTACAATGAGGACACAAGTTTCCCTTGGTAGAGTTGGTTTGCAAGGCTTTGCTTCCACCCTAGACCCGATTTTGAATCCTGTTAGTGTTATTTTCTTAGTTTTTAGCTTTTAGTTACAGATTTATTATGTTTCTGAAAAAAAGTTGCAATTGAAGAATTGAACGAAGGACCTCACATATGAAAGGCAATGATCTAACCAACAGATCAATGGTGATTTTGTAAAAAAGATCTCTATATTTGTTTCTTATTGTCAAATGCTGCCATCACTTGAAAAAAATTCTAGGTGCATCTCGGCTAAAAGGTCAAGGGTTCAAATCTTACGAAATATGAGGAGTGTCATGAGTATTTGCTATATATAAAAATATTATATACTTCACAAAAGAAAAAAAATAAACAAGGGTGGTAGAGCATACCTTCTCACTGAACCCAGCAGATGAAGCCTTGGCAAAATCCTCCGTCCAACGCCGAGCTGTAGCAACATATGTAGCATAATCACCAATATACTGCGGAGATGGAAACAAAAACAACAACTAGCATTGGATGAAAAAATTACAACGGCGCAAAAGACAAAGACATGTGAGGGAGGAGACGGCAAAAGGTTAACCTGTTTGGCAACAACAGCATCTTGGGGATCATTGGGTTCTGGGGATGACAACAGAGCTTGTAAAGAAATCAGAGCAGTTTTTAGGTTTAGCGCTGGACTCCAGTTGTTCTTTAGAATATCAAGACAAATTGCTCCAGTTTGGCTACTGATGTTTGGATGCCTTACAATTCAAAAGGTTTACATCTTAGAATGTATATTATTGTCCTCTTAAATAATGAAATATATTTATAAAAAAAGAGTCCTTTTAGGGGGTTGGGTGAAGGGGTTAATGTTGAATTCTTCTTACCAAACTTTTGTAGTAAACCTCATTTTAGGAGGCTCAAAGGGATACCCATCTGCAGAACATCAGGAGAAATGGACATTGTTATTGATTATACAGAAACTTTAACCATGATTTCTGTTGATGCTTTAATTTAAATTGAAGAAGTCAAAAGATTTCATGTTCATGATAAACAAATTTCCCTAAATAGATATAGCACACAGTTGAAAGTAGCATAACAGATGGGTAAGAAATAAACAGCTATAGCTGTTGTCCTCATTTCAAGTGGACTATGGAAGGTATTGAATTTGAAGCTCCAATGACGATACTAACCTTGGGAGGGTTAATCACAAAATGGGGACCAATTGATTTTGACTTCCAAAAGTTACACGTTATAAGTCTCTTTCATCAAATATGGGACGGCAAATGGTGCTCAAAGGGAAAATTGCTGATCTGAAACCAAACATGCATTTGATGGACTAACGTCAGTTTGTTAACGTCCTCCATTCTATTTCATACGGGTTCTTTGGGTTTTTGTATGCTATGACCAACATGTTGACCAAATCAAGGGTGAGACTGGGGGGACAAGTGAGATGCTGCTAGAAGAGGACAAGGATTTACCAGAAAAGCTTGGAGGTTTACCACTAGATAATGGGCACTCTCATCAGATTAGGATTAATGAAGGCACACAAGCATGAGGCTAAGGACATACTGCTATCCCTTTAAGCAAAAGTGTAAATAGAAATGGTCGTGCAAGGTTATGGTAGATGTGATTCAACATATTCTAGCCGATTATTAGTGGTTAAAAAGCAAGAATGCACTCAGAGAATGAGTGTAGATAACAATTCTTCAAATGATGCAATAATCAAGAAGGATAAATTTCCAATCATAGCTATTGATGAGCTGCATGGACTTCCTAGGTTTGGCCTAACGAACTAACGCTCAATTAAAAATGAACAAGGTCTTCCAAACCTTTTGAGATCCTAGGTTTCTATGACGATATCTTGATTTATAGTGTAGACTAGAAGAACCATATACACCATATTAACCCTATGGCTGTCGGTAAGCATACATTGTATGCCAAAAGAAGTAAAGTCTTGTTGTGAATATTAGGCCATGTGATCACTGTTCTAGCTCATAAATGGAGGCTCATAGTATACTTCATCAAGCCATAGCTTTAAAGCCTTTGGGTTGGTCAACTTATGTGAAGAAATTGAAGGTTGTTGTCGATGCAGTTGTAAAAAAACCAAACCAACCCAGTACTTTCAAGGGTATGTATGAATGAGTCAAGAGGGTCTACCATTAGAGAGGTCTCAAACGGGTAGTTCATTCAGGACTATGGGATTTGTCAAGTCCAAAACTATAATGCCTCCATCCTTGAAGGCTGTTACAACTACTTTTTATGCCAAAGGTTTGGAGACCTATGATAACTTTATTGCCCGATTCCTAAACTCAAGGCATGTCAAACTCTGATCACTCGGGGATGGTAATGTAACGCTCCATGGGTTTAATTGTAAATCGTAGGACTGGAGGGGCATATAAACACACACATACACACACTAACTAATACACTAGAGCGATTTAACATATGATCATGAGATCAGATGAAGTGACGATCACAACCAATGAGACAGTATCTACAAGTCGCTATATAAAATCCTAAAGAACAACAAAGCTAGGATTCTGTGAGGTCCAATCAAGCTGCAAGAAATCAGTTGTTTTACATATTAAATAAGTTCAACCAACCGATTGTAACACTTACGGATCAAAAAATCAAACAACAAAATCACAATTATGCATATGAACAGATAGAGATAGAAAGTGAAGAAGGACCAGGTAAAGTGATGTCAAGATGGAAGATTCCGCCTTCGTAAGGGGTGGAGAGAGGGCCGGGAATGGTTGCAGTGAGGTGGCGAATATCCTGATCATCCGGCATTAAACTCATGCCTAAAATGCTTTGATCTTTGTTGAATTGCATCAATTCTCTGTGAATCCTGGATACATTGGCCATGATTTCACAGAAAAAATGTGTGCTGCTGCGGTGGGGTTTGGGAATGTGAAGAACCCTAAAGGAGAATCAAGTGGTGAGGCATGTGATGGATTCATAGGTGCCTTCTAATCCAACCTTATTAGACTGAATTCTGGATTTGGTCCCTCTGTTTTCTTACTTTTTCATTAGGGTCCCATGATATGTTTTATTATAGATTTGATTCTTGTTGTATTCAATTTGTTTTAGTTATGGTCCATTTGACTAACGTTTCCGTTAAATTAATAATCATTTTAATTTTTTTGTCTATTCTTTTGTTTTTTTTCCTATAAAAAAAGTAAAAATAATATTTTTATATACACAAATATATATATATAGAATATATTTCAAATGCAACCACGTCCATTTATATAACCCAATTAATTGAAATATTTATAGAAATGATGAGAGTTTATTAATTATGATTTGAATATTTATGAAAGATGAATATGGTTCATTAATTATGATCAATACTTTATATTAGAAAACAATCAAAACTTATATCTGATCACATATTCATCAAATTAAATAGACGGTTGAGATTGGGTTATATTGGTTGTACAAATGTAAAAGGTTGTATAATAACCAACCTCTGTGTATATATATACATATACATGTATATAAATAATATGATATCAAAATAAATAAAATAAGATATCTACTTTATAATTTGATTTGTTTTAAATAAAAATTAATTATATTAAATACGATTTAACTTTATTCTTTAGTATTTTTGGGTATGAAAACTGGTTGATGTTTATATAGAGGGAGACTTGTTTACTTCTAAGTTACATATATGGTCATATGTATGAATCTTTTATTTGGTTAAAATTTAAATAGCTGATCTTGAGTTTTTTTTTTATAATGAAAACTGAGAACCCTAATTTTAGGATGATAAAATTAGAGTTTATTTTCTTAGGTCTCGTTTAATTTGTCGGATTAAATTGGATTTGGAGGACTTGGAATTTAGTTTCATTCTAATCTTTTATTTGGCTTGAATGATTTCTTGGATTCGAGATCATGGATTTCATTATAATCCTACAAACATATGATTTTGAAATTTCATGGGGTTGGTTGGTATTTCACGGGGTTTCATAAAATTTGTATGTAATAATAATTTAAAATTTGTTTAAAACATTTATTTTATAATAATCAATTGATAAAAAGATAATTTAATTATTTATTAAAAAATATTAAATTTTCCATAACTAATGAAATTCAATTATTTTCCAAATCCTACACATCAAAGATTTTAAATCCAAATCCCTCCGATTCCAAATCATTATCGGAAATCCAAATCCATCAAAACTATTTCATCAAACCAAACGTCTCCTTTGTGGTTTTCAATGATTTTGGTGTTAAAATTTCAATAATAAGCTTGTTTTATTGCAATGACAGAAAAATAACAATAGAATTAAATTGTCTTTTAACATAATTAAAATTTTAATTTAAAAAGTCAAAACATAAAACCTATCATATTTTATTCATCTATCTATACTATCTTATTAAACAAATTTAGCAAAAGTCTTAAAGTCTTAAAATACTAAATGACCAAAATACCCTTTATACTCATTTTTTCACCCCTTTCTCTCCTCACATACACTCACCCTCTCACAACTGATTTTTTTTAAATTATAATTTTAAATTTATATTTTATACCCCTATAATTAGTTAATTAATTTACTTTACGTTCTTTACTTTTAAATGTTTCATTTTAAACTTTTATCAAATTAATATACATAATCATATCTCAATTAAAACATGTTTAAAAAATACATTTTTATTTTAATAAGTTACACCATTATAATCGTCTCGTTAATACTTTCGAAATGAGTACAATATTGAATAGTTTTTGACTTAATTATATTATTATATATTATATATAATGTGAAAAAATATTTTTAATATTTACGATTTATACTTTATAGTTATTTATTTATATATACACTATATATTTTGGAGTTAGACTGTCAAAATTGCACTGTATAATATATTCTGAATTAATATGTTCTTGGGTTTTTTTTTAAAATATATTTATGCATGTATTAATTCAATCTTAATCTGAGTTTCTGGACAAGAAAGAGGGTAAACAGTTGAAATTTCATTTTAAAACCCATATTTTTTGGTCTTTTCATGGCTTATGATCTGTCAAATTTGTAGTTTTCTTTATTGGTTTTGAGTGTTTACTTAAAACTCAAGTTTATTGGTTCTTTGCTCTTAGTGTAAATCGAACACGTTTATGGAGTCGTATAAATATGTTGGATTTTAAACTGTCATACAATTTTTTTCATCGATAGTCTGTAATTGGAACCATAACTCTTATTTATTCAAATTGTATTAATATGTAAAGATCAAGTGTAACATATATCATCGTTAAATCTTATCTTATAAAACCAGTGAAACTTTAAAATCGTTAAAATTCACGGCTTCCGCCGCATTGCACGGGTACACAACTAGTTCTAAATAAGATATGGTTTTATGATTTTGATTTATTTAAATTAAAATTTTAATTACATTAAAACAATAAAACCATATCTATTTTCACCATTACAATAAAACAATAAATTAAATCATATTCAATATAATTCTTTTTTTTTACAATTTAAATAAATCAATCACATGTTATTTATTTTGTTATCATTATATATATATATATATATATATATATATATATATATATAGACTTGAAATCATGTGAGACCAAGAGTTTTTCGTGAGACCTGTAAGACCAATTATCAACCATTGGATTAAATCTACAATCTAACAATCTGAACATTCATAAACGCCACGAGACTTCTTAATAATCACAAAATTGCCACCGTGCAACTTTAAACCATTAGATCATTAACTTATAAAGTTGATCAATGAACATAAATTGGTCTTACGGGTCTCATGAAAAACCCTTGGTCTCACGTGAACCCAACCCTATATATATAGGGCTCAATTTACACATATATGGTTACAGTTACTGAACATATATATGAATGAGTTATATAGAGATATGAATAGATTGAAAATATGTGTATATGAAAAGCATACATGATACTAACCCAAGAAAAAAAAAAGATATCGGGTTCATCGGGTTGTGTTGGGTTCAAATAATAGTAACCCAATATCAACCCAATACCTACGGTTTGACAATTTTACAACTCGATTAAATATCGGGCTACTTCAGATTAGGTTATTTTCACATTGTGTTAGGTTGGGTTGATCGGGTTGGTTGAGTGTTTGAGCACTGAGAAGGGTCAATAAAGAAAAAGCTAATTTGTGATACAATTAAAAAACAAGGGTAAAATGGTCAATTTGATGACATGGAAGGGTATTAAAGATAATTTTTATTAAATTCAAATTAAAGATAAAATCAGCAATGCCAAAGATTAATCCTCCATCTTCTTCTCCGACGACTCCTCCCGTCGCTCCTTCCCCGATCTTCGCCTCCGATGAAACTCCAATCCTGCAATTTTCTTCACCATATCCAGTCATAACCTCCGAAACCCACCGGATGATAGAAACGATTAGTTAAACGAATAAGCTCAAGATCTAATATGGAAGAGGGAGACCTCGATCTTCGAACCAAAAACCCATATATATATATATATATATATATATATATTCGAGTCGATCTGTTGAATAAACGAGTAACCGAGATACTGGAACCAGATGCAGAACGATGACTGAAGTGCAAACCCTTCAATTAAATCGTTCTCTTTCCCTCTCTTTTCGAGGCTAATTTTTTCCAAGAATTTAACGGCCGTCGTCCATGGAGGTGGAGGAGAATTTGAACAGCAGGAAGTTGTACAGTAATTTGGTGTATAGATTTGAAATTCTTGGGTATTTCTTGTTTTTCCAAATTTTGGGTGTAATTGATTGAATTGAAATGAGAAACAACGAGGCTGTGGGTGTTTGAGCTCCGTTTTTTCTTGTATATTCCGATGAAGAGAAAGAGAGAAGGAGATTATATTTGATTTCATGCAGTTTCTTTGTGTATGAAATTTGTATTTCGTTTCATGTTGTGAAATATTATATTTATGAAAATTGTGTTTTATTTCATCCGGTAAATTTCTGTCTGGTTCATCTAATAAATCTATTTTACCAAAATGATGATTATGTCTATTTTCTAATTAAGAACACCTTTAAATTAAAAACATAGGATCAAAACAAAATTAGGACTTAGATCAGTCATCATGGTTTTCAACCTTCTTGTGGTTTTTAATTCTCATTTGATTATAGTCTTATATATTTGTGTTTGTATAAAATTATTGTTTTCATTTTTTATAGAAAAAAAAAAAAGAAAAATTAGGCAAAAAAACAAAAATGTCATTGATTTAATGGAGTTAACGGGTACGTTAGTCATAAGAACCATGAACAAAACAGATTGAATACCATAAATATAAGAATCATGAACAAAACAGATTGAATACCATAAAGAACTACCCTAATAAAAAAGTATCAAAACACATGAACCAAATCCACAATTCACTCACCTTTCTTATAAAATTGATTAATTGATTTTATAACAAAATCTTAATTAAATTTTGATATCTTTTTTCACTAATTATCATTTAAAGTAAATCATATATCTATACTATATTATAAAACATTTAACAAAAACTCTTAAAAATCACTTTTTATGCGTAAAGTACTGTTTATCAATGCATATGACTTAAAACTCAAGATTGCAAGTAGATTGTGCGTAAGTACAATTTATTAAAGCTCCATATCCGAATTTATGCAACTAATTGCAGATAAACATAATCAAATACGTGATAAACATTTCATTTTAAATATAAGAAATTTAAAATATAATTAGGATAATCATTGAATTCTAACAGAATAGTTAATTATTATCTTTATAAAATGTTATATTATTAAACCAAAAATAAATTGTTTTGTTATTAAACTTAAATTAAATTAAAATAGAAAAATAAATTGGAGAAATTACATAAAAAATGAGAACTTTTAAATAGTTGATTTGATATTAACATTGATATATTTTTTTTTCCAAATTTTTATGATATCTTCAAATTTGTATTTTATTTAAAAATAAAATCATTATTGTTTTCTTAAAAACACATAAAATCGTATTATAACATCGACAGAGACAATAAAACATTAAAATCGAGATATATCTCACTGCATTGCGCGAATACTCTTCTAGTATACAATATATGTATGTATATATATATATATATATATATATATATTATTTTTAATGTTATAGTTTTTTAAAAGTGTGCATGTAAAAACATCTTTAGATGCAGCAACGGACCCACTTCATTAGATACGGTAACACGTATCACCACCATGTTTTTGTGTCATAGGCTAGAAAAATTAGGTTCGTGAAAGATATAACAGTATTGTAAATTTAGGTATCATGGTATATATTTTGAAACTATAATAATAACACAAGTTTGTCTTAATAGTTGTTTTAGACGACTTTTCTTCCATTCCATAAGCATGTTTGAATCTTGTTTCAATCATTTTCTTAATTTTTAATTGTTGATTTCAAGTTTGTAAGTTCCAACAATTTAAAAAATAATAATAATCAATAAACTTTATATAAAATGATAATTTTTAATAAACTTTTTATAAATTAAGAATTTACAATAAAGTTTTTATAAAATGATTTTCCAACAAAATTTTCATATAAGGTTAATTTCCAATAACTAGGATTAATGATTCTTGACTTATTATATATATATAATAGCAAATTACTATTATTTTTCCTAACTCATTTATAAAAAAAAAAAAAGTTATTATCCCATCTTATAGACTTTTTTCCTATTAACCTGGATATCCAACCCGTTACGTGAGACAACAAATCCCAGGACGACCACCCGTTTCGTGGGTAGTCCAGAGTCATCGTATTTAAACCTCTATGACATAAGGAGGTTTTTATTTCTTCTTGGATTCGAACCTGAAACCTCCTTCAGGTCCTTTTGACCTTTAAAGCCTAAGTTCAAACCAATTGGACATTACCCTTATGGTGCGTTTGGTACACTAGATAGAACATGATAGAGATATCTGTCTCATGTTTGACGTGACTTTTATGTGAAACAAAGTGAAACAGACCTGTTCCACCCCTACCCCATGGAACAAGGTAGAATAAGGTGGAACAGACTTATATTTTACCAATATAACCTCAAAATAAAATTTAATTCTCTTCTAAAACATCAAATATGTCTTTTTTTTATATATTTTATTAATTCTTTAAATTTTATTTATTGTATTTTATGTTTCTTAAACTTTCATTTTACTGTCTTCAAAATATTATTTTTTACGGTTTCTATATTTTTATTAATTTATGTAATTTATTATATATTAATAATAAAAAATAATGTAGAAAAGAGATAAAAATAAAAATTGGAAGCTACATAATTTTTTTATTTGGTGTCATTTCAATTGTTTTGACGAAAACTTCAAATGATATATTTGTTATAAAACTTAGTTATTCTATTATAATTTAATAAATTACATAAATTAATTAAAACAAACAAGTCATCAGGGCTAAATTGGTCATTTTACTTGTTCTGTTCTGTCCAGTTTTATCTTACCAAACGTTGAACAATTGTTCTATCCTACTCTCTTGTCTTGTCTGGACACCAAACAGACCATTATGGTTAAAACTTTTATTTTGGTAAAAAAAAACAACTAAAAACATTTATCTTTTCTAACAGAATAGTCTAAATATACGAAGATGATGTAGATTTTTATTTATTTTAAATGTTAAGAATGTAATTTATTTTTACCAAATAATATTAGATTGATAAATCAAAGATGTATAAGTTCTGTTTTTAACATAAGGACCCTTCTAATTTAAGCAAAGGAGAGGAGGACCTATTTTTTTTTTTAAGTAATGACATCATTTGACTGTAAAAATTAAATATAGGGATAATTTTCACGAGATCATCATTGGTCAGTTGAATAGTTTATTGTTATGACGGACCTAAATTCGTAATAAATTTGAAACTAAAAGCTAAAAACTAAGAAAATAACACTAATGATATTCGAATGGAAGAAAAGTCTTGCAAACCAACTCTACCAAAGAAAACTTGTGTCCTTATCGTAGTTTTAAAATATATACGGTGACACACAACAAATTGATATGGTGGTACTTGTCACAACCCTGTAAATTTTTACATTACGACGGACGAACTAATTGGTGGGCTAATGCCACCGTATCCAATACATTAGGTCCGAAGAGGTTGTTGTAGATCAAATAGAAATAAGTCTTAATATGCCAACCTCTTGTTCAAAGTTGGCAAAACGCTTATTTCTCCAATATCTTCCACAATTTCACTTTTAATATCCATGAGCATTTTGCACAAGGTTTTGATACCAATATATAATTTAATTCTATATCCAACAAACCACTTAATAGTTATGCATGTAACACCAAACTGGTTCATGATGCGACATAAATAAGTATTAGGGGTTGGGGGTTTGTTAACAGCTTAACGAGACTCACAGCTTATTTAATCAGCTATAGATGACCGTTTGGTAGTAGTTTAATGATATAGAAAATAACTTATTCAGTAAGAGTTTATAGGAGGGAATTTTATGTAGAAAGCCAAGTTTTTCCAAACTTGTCCTCCCAATTAGAAAACATGCCTTCTTCCATCTATTTCAAAACCTTCCCAATCTATATAGACAAAATAATCCAAACAAACATCTTTATCCAATACAAGACTTAATGGAAAACCAACCATACAATCCCTTGATATGCCAACTTTCAACATAAGAAATTCTCAACACAGCAAATAAGTAAAAGATGTTCATAACCATCACCTAAATAAACACAAAAGAGATGCCAAGCGTTGTAGATTTTGCAAAGCATTCACTACACGCTATTATATCATGATGGCTATCATCCGCCATACTAACCTTCTTTTGTTTGGAATAACTTCTCAATATCAGCAACGGTGTTTTCAGCATCAGTGACTTCAGGTCCTTCCTTTTGGTTCGCTTCCGCCAACTCAGACTGAAATAAGCGGAGTTTAGTCATTATAAAATCCAATGTCAATATTTTCCGCCAATATCTCCTGTTTTCATAAAACCAAATGTATCTAGTATATTCCACTTGAAAATAAGGTCCAATAACAGTAGGGTGTAGGCAGACATTTCCTCTGCTCCAAAAGGGTAGAGAAAATATGGTTTGGTTTTCATGATACGAGATACTAACATACCACTCCTTTCATCGCTTCTTATTAATTCTATGATTAACCTAGTGTAATAAATGTCCAACAAAATAGTCTTCCATTCTCTTAATGGCATATGCTATGACCGACCAAACTATTATCTCCAAGCACAGGGACTACTTCATATACATGCTGAATAAGGGTAGGTTCAAACTTCAGGTACCCTTGAGTAGGAAAAAACTATCCATGACCAGCTCTAATCAGCAAAAAGTACATTTATTTTAAGAAGCTAAATACCATAATAGAATAAAAAGGTAAAATACCAATATCCCTTTTAGGTCAGCCAATGAAGACTCGAGGCGTTTGTGACAATCAGGAATCATCATCCTTGATTCAGCCAGCACATTTTCCTGTTCAAAATAAATCAAGGGGACAAGTTCTCAAATCAAAGAAAACATCCCAATCACCTTTCTTGCAATCTCACTAGATGCACAAACATTAATTAAGGAGAACTAGCAAAAATACTATTTTGTTTAGTCCAAAAAACATATATTGATATCTTTGTAACTCCAAATGCTGAAATACATCATCTTTAAACAAGTTCATTGAGGAAATAAGTGAGATGTATATGATGGTAATTAGCAGGGTAAGATCAAAAGATGGAAAATTAACTCAAGGAGACAATCTGTTTAGTCCCATGAGATAATGAAGAGAAAACTAAGGGGTGGATCGCCTTTCTCTTTCTATCATATGAAGAAGGCGGATTAAATGAAGAATATAGTCATCACCCTCATCGCGAAACCACTATCCTTGGTGCAACAAACTGTAAAAATACTAGTACTTGGGCTACTGATGCCTGAGGATACAGGAATGCCTACTTGAAGCTGCCAACTGCGCTAGAAATGATGTCTAACGATTCCAATAGGTTAAAAATACTTCACTGAGACATCATATCACAATTGTGGCAGAATTCTGCAGAATCACAAAAGTAAGGTCCGAAGACTTGCAAATCTGATCCACATTGAGGAGGCTAATCTCATGAGTGTGTGAGAGAGAGAGTCAATCCATTTGAACAACTTCTAAATGCCTTTTATCATAGACGATATTTTGGCCTTGGGTCAGTATGCAAGGTTTATCACTTTGCAACACAAAAGGACTAGAGAATCAAGTGCTTGATGCATCTATGGTACAGAAAGACTGTCACTGAAGAACTACTAACAAAACCGACTTTCTCAATCATGTCCATTTCAAAATAAGATATATTTAGGAAAAACTGGGGCCAATTTAGGCATCACTGCACCAGAAGATGTCTAACAAAAACTCAATGAACAACCACAAGGGTGGTGCCTGATTGGTTTGAGCTTGGCTCCAAAGGTCAAAAGTACCAGGAGGTCCCAGGTTCAAATCCAAGGAGGAATAAGAATCCCCTTGTGGCCATGGAGGTTCAAACGCGGTGACTCTGGGATATCTGCAAAGCCGGTGGTCGCCCTGGGATTAGTCGGCTAGCATAGCGGGTTGGATATCCAGGTTAATAAAAAAAAAACTCAATGAACCTTTCAGTGCCAATATACACAAGTGATTCTGTCAATCATATTGACACAGTAAAATGCTCTATGTAATGTATAAGTATCAGCTGTATTAAGTTACTCATGTTAATCCGTACATGGGCAGTGCCCCTTATTACACTATTCTTATTATTTCATATACTTCTCATGGAGAAAAAATCACACAACTGAAATAAAGCCTTAGTCCAAAACTCCTAATGCTGTCAAGTCAGGTAGGAATAATTAAAGATGAAGGATATCTTTACCTGTTGTTTAAGATCATAAGGATCAGCACCCTTCTCCTTCATGGCAGCTGTCTTGGCCGCCTCCCTCTCAACCTCTTTCTCATAGGAGTGTAGCTCCTTGACAATGCGTTTGCATGCAGCTGTCTTGATTTTCAGATTTCTAATTGTTGCCATATTTCCTTAAAGTAATTGCTGTCTATAGGAACTAGTAAAAACAAATAACGATCAATTTACAATAAAATCTGTCTGCTTCACATTTTTTAGAACTTTAAGTCCAGTACCTTGCACATTAAAAATTGCCTGATTTTTTTTGATTATGTAGTTCGGTAGTGTTCTCAGTGTAGCACTCTTACATAGCTTAATATTTATCTCTTTTTTTCTGTGCCTAAATTTTTTGATTATGTAGTTCGGTAGTGTTCTCAGTGTAGCACTCTTATATAGCTTAATATTTAACTCTTTTTTTCTGTGCCATGCAAAAAACAATTATTTTTGAAGTAAAAAAAAAAAGATTATCCAGTTGAGGGTCAAAAGTCAAATATACATTCTTCATGGGGATAAATGAAGTAAAATAAGGCAAACTGTTACAAATCCTCGAACATTGGTTGTGATTATCAATTGTGAGCCTCTCATAGGCCCTTGGGTAGTATGCTACTAAAAGCTTCCAACTATAGTTTTTTGTTGATTTGGAAGCTATTTACATTAGCCTGTATAAACCATTGTTTAAATTCTCTTCCACCTCCAACCTCTTATTCTTCTCCTTCAGCCTGTTTCCAACCCATCGTTCTAGATTTGATGTCATTGAGCATCAAGTTGAAGCAAAATTATCTCCCGATAAACTTGGGTGAATTGATCTCTCATCTGTTGGTTCATTTTTATTATATGTTTTTCTTATTTATATTTCCATGCTACCTTGTCAAACCATATTATAATTAAATCCAACAGAGATCATCAGTAGCACCTACTAAGCCTATCTAAGTTAGAAGCCGTTGGTCCCCAATTTCTATCTGATACAAAAATTAAAGTCCACCATAGCAGTTACATTCATATAATTAGTAAATCCTATACATATACAGGGATTCCTTGAGCTGGTTTGAAATTTCGATTTTTGACATATGAAATGAACAAGTCTAGAAATAAAGATTTATATACCAACATCAAGTGGAATATCAAAAAACAACTGACGAGTTTTCAGTCTTTACTAAAGCAAGAAAAAGCTAAACATCACAAACTTCAAGCACCAGCAATGTGAAACATAAGCAATGCTTTAAGCTACATGTATGCTAAAATTACTAATGCAAGGGGATCATCCTATCATCATCTAATTTTAGAAATTTCAGGGGTCCACCAGTGAGTTTGTAACCACTACTTGACCCATATTTTGATAATGGCCTGTAACTTGGTTTGGTTTTGCTTGCACAAATAGCATGTCTATGGCAGAAGTATCACAAAAGCATGACAGAAGGAAAGCATAAAGCAAAGAAAACCCATTCCGTACAGATCCAGAAGAATGACATATTTATCCACCAGAAAGAGCAGATAGCTGTGAATCAATTGGCTTTTATCAACATCATATACTTGCTTATCATCTTTTGGTTATAAGATTGCCGATCCATAACCAACTATTGTAGCAAAGGTACATGGAACATTAATATACTGACTAAAATAGTGACAAATAACTTAGAAAAAAATGGCATCATCATTATACGTCTATAAAGCTGAAACGTATGCAAAGATGTAAACATGAACCGCTTCCTGAGAAAAAAAAGAAGCTAGATTCCATTGTTTACCAATTACGAGCATACCTCTGAGGCAGCAAAATAGTGGCTCGTCAAAAAAATTGTTATCATGATTCATGACTTGGTGAAAGAGAAAAAGGTTGAACAAGGGTAAAGTTACCGAGCATATACGGTTATGGTGCAGCAATCAGGGAAAATCAAAAGGGTAATCATCACAAGACTTGTAATGGAATCAGACATGTAGCAGCGGAAGGCTAGAACAACATCCAACAACTGACTGAATTAAAAAGATCGATGAGAAAGGGAAGTCTCTGTGGCATTTAATCGAACAGGTTGAAATCATGATCAACTTTGGAACAATTTTGAAACATAGATCGAGAAAAATGAGATAGCGTTTAATGATTAGCTGAAGAATTTGAATGAAATATAAAGCTATTAGATGGAGAAACACATTAAGCAGATCTTTGACACAGCAATCTTTAGGGATGAAATTACCTTCGATATGAGGACAGGGATGGATGCTTTTTGGAATTGTGCCGATGGATGAAGAGGGAAGAGACGATCCCAAAGATGAAGGTTTTGAATAGAAAAATGCCTCAACAATAAATTTATTAACACGTTCAAAAATAAACGCAACAATATTTTAAAATGTCTCAGAATCATTTTCACACCGATCAAAAATCGTAAGTGAAAACCAAATCATATTACTTTACCAGATAAATATGGCAATATCAAGGATCTTATCCGGCAAAAACGTGATAAGGACCAAGAGTCTTATCCGGTAAGTGAAAACGACGACTTTTACCACAGTAAGCGCTTACCGGGTAAACTGTTGCATACGATACCGTTTTGATGAACTAAAATCTTCTCCGGTAAGTAAATGATAGTGTTAAGTTTACCGGTAAACGCTTACCAGGTAAATGTTTGGTAATCGGCCCCTTACTGTCACATAAATAATAATCAAAAATCAAATTTTTTATTTAAATTATATTATTAAAATGTTTAATCCTTTTCATAAAATGCTATTTTCTTTTCTTATACGTTCAATTTCAAGCATTTTTCACTGGTAGAAAGAATAAAAAATAATTTCTACTTTCTACAATTTGGAGAAAGTTTTAAGAAATTTGTTGGAGCAAAAATGGCCAAACTCTCTATTTTGAATAATCTGTTGAAGATACTCTGAAAAATCATTCTCACAACCACCATAATTTCAAATTAAGAAATCATAAGTGTCACTCAAGAAATCGCATAAAAAGTTGTCGTAGCTGTGGTGTTTTTCAATTATGATGGCAAACCTCTATATCATATATGGCGAAGGATCGTGTGAGAAAGGGAGTGTAGATGAAAAACTTAAGAAATGATATTGACTCTTGATCGCCTCTAATCTCAAACCTACCAATGAATTGCGCTTGATATGGGGATTGATCCGCTGCATCTCATCCTAATGTATATCCAAGAGTGAAGATTTCTTCTTATGCTTCTCCCATACTTTTCTATTTTTCCGGCTGATTTTGGGGTACTTGTTTGATCTTTTTAGTTGATGTTCCTTATATTTTCTAATATACCAAAATAATATTCAAAATTTACCAGATGCACATTTCATACATCAAAAAAGATTTACTTATAAAATTTAATTGAAATGAGCGTAGGGAAACCCACTTAGGCATGAAATAATCCACCCTCGTAAACAATTATTTTCATTAAATAAAATGTTTGGTTTTATATAATATAATGGACTCATTCTTTCATACACCCAAATTTCATTCTAGAAAAAAACAAAAATTTCATTCCTGTCATTTTCATTTTCATTCCCGTCATTCACAAAACAGTCCCAAGTATATCAAAAGATCAATAATCATGTTGCATTTACGTGCTTAAACCCTACGTTGATTTTTAACGTTGATGCAAATAACATCAGATGATTGTCCAACCCCAATGTGGACACGAAGTTGATCGCAAGAGCTTACGAACTCATTGAAAAAACACCAAAATCGAAAAATATACGTGTATTAAACACAAGAAAGCTATACAATATATATAGATATATACAATACACCATATATGTATTGCAAGTTCTAATAATGCCAACCTTGTTCATTCTTGCATAATCCACATGCTATAATTCACAACAATTCACGGATATCACGTTTTTATGTTCAAATACTCGACTTTCACTCGGACTTCTAAGTACAGAAAAAGATTCGACATCAGGGTGGTCGATCGTCCATACATCAAAGAACACGGGTAAATCACGACTTCAACAGTTATGCAGGCAATGCAAAACTTGGTTGACACCAACTTGGTGGATCCATAACCGCACACGCATCATTCTTCTCAAAATCCGCAAGCTGCCATCAATAACAATGTGATCATATATAACCAATCTCACGCAGAGGTACGGTATGGGGAATAACAGTTTCTTCAAATTAAAATGAAGGATTGTCGAGAAAAAAGAAAGTGAAGGAGTCGTATACCTTCTCGTTGCAGTGAGGGCAATAATGATATTTGTGCCAAAGGCAATCCATGGAAGGACAAAGAAAGCATACTCCAAGCATGAATGGCATCATGCAACCAACGACAGCAGCCAGACTTGGTTTTGATCTATAAAACATTACAAGAAAAAAGATCGGAATTGGTTACTTAGGGCTAACACGATACACAACCCAACAAATTTTGGCTCAACAAAGTAGCGTTCTAATATCTGGTTATCAAGATTTACACGATTGCATCCCGTTGAACCATAAAACAGCCGGGTATAAGTGGGGATCGACACATCTGAGATGATTCTTGGATCCCACTTGAGAAATCTTTTTGATCATAGATCCCAAATCCTCAAGATCTAAAATTGGTACATGCATAAAGATGTACCAAGAGGTTCGGGCGTCTTCTCATGGCAAAATGTCGTTTAATTTTATCTTCAGAATCAAATCTTATTTCATCGGAGAAAAAGCAAATACGTGCACACAGAAGCTTTATGCAGCCGAATTCAAAAGATTGCAACGTCTCTTACAAGAAATACCCATATTTCAAGCATTCCAAAATCTATTAATCAACCAGCAATGCATATCTAAACAATCATAGAACTTCAAAAGCCATTTCTCCAAGAAAAAAACAAACAAACCAGAGTACGAACTTCCAAACAGCCACATAACTTCAAACACACTGACCCAATTCATCCCGGTTGGAGTAGGGTGTCGAAGGGGTGAGATGTACACAGCCCTGTCCTCCACAGCGGTGGTTTCTAACATTTTTTTGGTTAAAGTGATCATATTGCATTGTAAAGATTGTTAAATAAGAGGCATTATAGAAGTTTTATAGCTAAACATGGTTGTTTTCCCCAAGTGTTTCATATGAAATTGCTCCATGCCCAGAAGTAAATATAGACCTCTTTGTGATCCATGAAGACATAATATTCAGTTATTCACTTCACAAAGAAAACAACATAGAATCTGAATCCTCCACATGAAACTTGACACCAAATAAGATGAATCAAGAACTTTATCAGCGAAAATCAACTAAACCCTTAAGTCAATTCTAAGCCAATTTGTATAAGAAAAACACCAACCGGATAACCTAATTCTAACCCAATTGCAGATCCAATTATACTGATCCGACAAGGTTTTACACAATGAAGAAAACAAATAACACCAACTGCAAATCAAATTATACTGATCTAATTCAAGGGTGCAACGATTTACGTTGTATGGAGAGAAATTTTAGGGTTTGTTGTGAATAAAGTGATTCACATCATACGTCATTAAAAGGGTTAAGAAACAATTGAATACCTGACGGTGGTGAGACCGGAGTTGCCACAGAAAGCGCAGTTAATGGGAGCAGGGGTATCTCTATAAATCGTCTGCTGAAGAGGAACACCTTTGGGATCACCGACGACGGCGTTTGAGGGGATTTGACCGGATTGATAAGGATTATGGCCGACGTGGTATTGCGATTGTGGAGGTGGGTAAACAGGAGGAGCATGATAGTTGGGATTGTATGGGATCCCCATCACCGGTTCCTCGTTCTTTTTCTCCATCTGAAGACAATTACTCCGATCCAAGTTTGAAAACGCGTTTCAGGGGGTTTATCGAATTGAATAGAATAGAATAGAACGGTGGGGAGCTTTCAATAATGGAATTTGTAGCCTTCTGGTTTATGGATTATATAGAGGAAGCGGCCATTAGAGGAAATGTCAGCAGCGAAGAAGGTCGCGGATGACGGTTCCTACAAGTATTGTCTTTGGCCAATTTTCCAGGGTTTTTTTTGTCAAATCCAGAACATCTAATTGGATTGGACGTTTTTGCCCTTCATCTCATAGTATTTTAGGTTCTTCAAAACGTACATTTTAAGTAATTGTATTTTTAATAGATTCTTTAAAACCTTCTTCAAAATAAAACAAAGATGAAATTCTATAAATTTAACGATTTCTTTAAAAGTTATTTGTTATGAGAGAAAATTTATTTTTTATTAATCCCAAATTCCCTATAATAAGATTGTTTGAATATAAATGTTAAAAGGGAAATAATATTTTATGAATTATATTTAATATTTTAATAATATAATTAATCATGTAATCTCTAAAATGACAATTTGTTCGAGATGGAGGTACTTTTTTTTGAAGATTTTGACTTTCTATTTTTTCATTTTGAAAAATTTGTTGGAAATGCTCTCATATTTGAGAAATTTGTACAAATTGCCATTTCACAAAATTGATTTCATTTTTTAGTTATTTTAAAAACTCAATAGTTAAAGTTTACACTTAAATTTTATGCAAAAAGGTATTTCTGTGTAAAGTTTCAATTTAGTAGAAAAAAGATTACACCTTACGTCTTTGTAATTAGTTATTTAATTTACTTCTATCACTTACTTTTTTATTTTTTATTTTACACATTTATTATATTAACACATATAATCGTATATTAACACATTTATAATTCGTTATTTAATTTACTTCTATCTCTTAATTTTTTAGTGAATTTTCAAGGTAACTTATAACTCGTTGATGATAAATTGTCAATAAAATTTTAAGACAAATAATTTTATAGTTTTTATCATATCAACCATTTTATTTTATGTTAGCAGACAATATAAAACCCGTTACGAAAGGATTAAAGGTGGGAGAGATTGACGAAAAAAACATAAGGTTAAAATTGTCAATTTAATGAATTACTTTTATAAAAAAAAATTGGGAAGATTCTAAAGGGAAGCAGAAGGAAATTTCTTACTTTCTAGAACTTGTTCATTTTTCTATGTTTTGTTCTTTATGGACTTATACGGTCGTTTTTTTTTTTTTGTCTTTTTATAGTGTATCTATATGTTTTAGATAATTTCTAAATTGTTAAGAGATGGATCTTATTTTAAAAAAAAATAAGATATGTTTCTTAATGATTCTAAAACTCTCTGAATGCTTTTGTATCATGAGTCTTTCTTAACCATTCAGAGCCCTAATTCCGTTGTGAATAATTGCTACTATATCATGAGAGCTTTAAATCATTCTGATCATTTAATAATTTTGTATCGAACCGTCCAACAACTTTCAAACAACCCCTAAGTAACCTATAATCCAAAGGCGACATTCAAGTCTTACTAATTATATGTAACCATAAAACTTATACTCTATTTTAGATTAATTAAACTTCCCGTTTGAAAACCAAATATCTATAAGCACGAAAAATAATTTAAGCCTTTTAATACTCGAAAAACACATTGTAACGCTCATCTTCTTGGTTTCTAGTGGAACGGAATAGATCCATGCTTCGTATCCATATGGAGATGTGTTCATGATAAATAGTTATACCTAAAAAAATTCTGTAGTTTTTGTCAAGATTAAATAAAAATATTAACACAAGTTTGAATATAAAAAAAAAGCTCAATGTCACGTATGTCTGAAGGCTTTATTAAAAAACAAATTATTTCAGACTCTTCAAGAATCTTGAAAAGAGATCAAAAAACATATAGTAGATCATCTCAATATTTTTGAACATCATGTTACACATGTATCAAGACTATAGTCTATAAAATCGACTTAACGAATAATAAATAAAACAAAATATAAATGTTTACATCATATATTATATTAAAACATAGGAAGACTCTAGAATAAAGATACATCCAACTCCTAACACCAAAAATCTGAAAATAAAAGAATACCACTACATATACATCCAACAACAACAAGACTCCCCAAGTTAATTAGCAGTAGCAGCCACTTTTGCATTGAATTCCGACAAGCTGTTCATCAGATGCTGCGAAGCTTTCTCGTAGTTCACGAATCCCATGAACCAGAAATCATGACCATCAACTGTAACTATCTGTATGTATCTCTCCCATGGATTCTCCCTCATCGTCACCGGATTCACCGTCCCAACATTCCCCAACGGTATCACAACCTGCAGTTTCATTTTCATTTTCAACAATTAAATCAAGAATTCTTGGATCAATAGATAGGTCATAGGTGTTGAAGGAAATAGAATCTTTTGTCAATTACCTTGTAGTAGCACCAGGTTTCTTCACCGGAAGGTGCGGTGAAACACAGCGGCCGATCGCTGCAGAAGGCGACACGACCTGTCGACAGGTAGATTGTTCCGGCGACGGGGCCGGTGGAGGTGGAAAGATAGCAAGCAAACGTCTTCTTCAATTTCTCGTTTGGATCAGAAGGTGAAAAGATCTGTTTGTACATAGATTCGAATCCGCCCTCCGTGATCGCCTTCGCCGTTAAGTTTACTTTACCCCATGCCGCTCCGGTCACCGACGATCCCGTTTTCACTGCAATCGAATCTCTTTAATTAGTATATAATTAATTTTGTTTAATTGAATATTAAAACTGGGACAAATTAGTTAAAGATGAAGTAAATACGATTGTGCCAGATGTTGCGGGCGATGGAGTCGGCCTTGGTGGTCCAGAAATCGAAGAGGTGGATGACGGGCTCTAATGGGTTGTTGGTGGGTTTATCCACCGGAGAGTAAAGCAGATAAGGCGATTGTTGGTGGTAGAACTGCTGGTGGTCGGCGGCATTCCATAAGGCCGCCTTTTGATTGTCGGGGTGTTTTGTGGGAACCGCTGGTTGTCCCATTACATGTGTACCCCATTTCTCCGTATCCTCCGACGATGCCGATGCCGATGCCGATGCCGATGCTGCTGCTTTTTTGGAAGGTGATGATGGTTCTGCCATGATTATGAGTATTGATCGATTGTGTTTGTATTTTTTGATGATTGTATTCGGTTGAGATGGAATGTGTGTGTGTGTGTGTGTATATATATATATATGTATATAGATTATAGTAGTCGTGGGATAAAACAAGAAACGCGTCTGGGGTTATCTTATAGATTAAGGATTAGAGAAAGTGACAGATGGCGGTTGGTGGTTTCTAGAAAGATGAGGTGTACATTTTGTGATTTCTCGAGGTTGAAATTGTTTTTTTTATTAACCTAGATATTCAATCTGCTATGCGAGTTGATTAATTTCAAGATGATTGTCTGTTTTGTAGATAGCCTGTATTTGAATCTTTATGGTCATAAAGGGATTTTTATTCTTAATTAGATTTGAACTTGGAACTTCCTGATATTTTTGATCTTTGAAGGCAAGTTCAAACCAATCAAATATCATCTTTGTGGTTCCAAATCGATTTTTTATGTCTCATGGTTGACAGATCGGTACTCTATGTATCATTTATATTAATTGTTAATATTTGAATAGTAATTCAAATTGATTTTGAGTTGTACGTTTTGTATCTTAGTTAACAAGACATTGGGTTTGTTAAAGTATGTCTCTTTTAATTGACAAGACTTTAAATATTTTATCATCAGATATAAATCTACTTTTTATTTTCTCTTATCGTCATTTTATTCTTTTGTTTCTTCAATTGCTCCTCTCTCAACCGATGCAAGCAATTGACAAGTTTTAGCTGTTTGACAGTTGCTGAATGATTTTGTACAGAATGGTTAAGTGGTCAGAATGATTAAGTACTAAATGAAATATGATTGTTTGGTAAATATTCTCTGAATGAATAAATTACCATTTTAACCCTTTATATGATTTAGTATTGAATGAAATATAGTTGTTTGACAAATATCTGAATAAAACAATTACTTTGTACATGTAACTACATAATTCATATTAATCCAAACAAACATAACATTACTTGTTCAAAACAAGATTTCATATTAATCCAAACCAACATAACATTACTTGTTCAAATTCTAGAATCACATTTCAATATAATAGTTTTTGAACAATTCACATAAGATGTTGCACATAAGGTGTTTCACATAAAGTTTACGAACCATAAGCCTTCTATCAGATCACCCAAAACTCTTGTTCACTCATGTAACTCTGAACGTTATGCCTCAAAGTAGTGAGACTTGGTACCAACTCTTCTATGGTTGAGGCATGATCTTTCTGACCCTTTGATATATTAAAATCTGTATCAAGATTTGCCAAAAGTTTCAAATACAATAATTTTTATAATATGGTCAAGGTGTTGCCTACGGCTGCAAATATCTACATCATTTATATAACCATATGTTTATCTGCTATTACTAAACGAGTCAATAATATTAAACAATTTAAATTAAGTTATAATTAGGTAACAAAAATCAAGTATGAGTATACATAATTTTGGTTTAATTGTTTCCAAGAAATAAAATGGAAACGAAAAGGGAAAGAAATGCACCTTTGTGTTATAGAGATAAAAGGAAATCAATCCAACATTCAGGGCGAAGAGAAATCTCTTGAACAAAATCAATAACATCATTGGTAATGCCCACAGCCTCAATTTCAATTTCATCACCCCTTTTATCAAATTGAAGCAAATTGGAAGCGAATTTAGAAATTTCACTCACCGCCTTATTGGATGACAGCAGAAGAGGCCAGAGGGCATGCCTTTTGGGTTATGGGAAATGGATTGAGGAGGAAGATGCCATTAATGGTGGAAGTGTGAGGTTGGGGTTAAGGGTGACGACAAAGAGGTTGTTGGATGATGATGCTGCAGCTGGTGCTTTCGTTGCGTGTCGTTTGCTTCCATTTATGTTTGGGAGGAGGAACGATGATGCTTGAAGGAGATGTGGAGGAAGGGTAAGCCTGGAAAAATAAGGCTCTTAACCATTAGGCAACCCCTTAGATGCAAAATCGTTAAGAGGTAATCGTCAAACACCCCAATACTTAAATATGTTTTTATATGAAAATTTTGATTCCTTATATTTCGATTAGATTGAAGTAACTTAAACACTTGCAACTTAAATATTGCCAATACTTGAGTAGCACTGTATTGATAGTTATTTTTTTTTCCTATTCTAATTGAAAAGATGCAATAGAAAATATAGTTGATAAACATATAATAGTATTTGCAGATGGGAGTTTCAAGTGACTGTAGACCATGTTCATCAACAACCTAATCTTATAAAATTGGGGAGGGAAAGAAGTCACATGCTTATTCACAAAATGGGATTTCAATATCAAATTTATATGATGACAACTTTAGTTAACATGCATGTTACATGTGGTTTGTACATGATGCTCAAAAGGGGTTTGATCAATATATTGTATCGACACATTGTCGACTTCAATGCTTAGAGGGTACATTCAAAATGGAGAAAACGAGAGCCATCACGAGATATCTCACCTAACAAGCGTTCCAAAAGCATACCCAAGTCTTCTCGTGTCAGAGCAAACTCAAGGTATCTCAACTATGGAGAGTTTGTGTTCAGAAGAATGCCATCAAGGGATGTTGTGTCTTGGAACTCAATGATTTATGGTCTGTCCCAAAATCTAAAATGGACGAGCCAGTGAAGTACTTGAATTATTCTAGAAGAGTCGGGCTATGTTACTTTTGTAAATGTTTTTTTACGGCTTGTAGCCACATGGGGACCGTAGAAAGAGGTTGCGATGTTTTGGTTAGAGTGAATTGTTAGTTTTATAAGTTAGATCTACTTTCCCCGATGACGATGAACAAACATATGAAATTTTTGGAAAGAGTTTGAAATAGATGGGTAACATTGAAAGTACGAAGTTTTTTGTTGTTTTTCATAATTACAAGAGTGGATTTTTTTATATATATAAATTCTAAAATTGTAATATTATGAGGAGTAAAATAGACAATTACACAGATTCTAACATTTATCAGTTTACAAAAACAAACAGTCTTATTGATTCTGCTTTCGGACTTCAACACCATCTCTTATCAATAAGAAGTAAAACCTATTCGTTGTTCTTCAAATCTTTCAATTCTTTGCTTCTTTCATCTCCTAGTATTTCTCTTCGCTCTGTTGTAAAATACATGTTAATTCCTAATCATTGGAGTTTGCATTTGTGTGCGGGTTTCGTCCTTTTCTAAAGTATCATCTCTATCTCTAATTTCAACGAGGCCGTTTTCCAACAACTTTTTGTACTCAGTTCATTTGTTTCTATTGTAGTAGTACTTCAAACATACGTTTGTCCTTCGTTTGTTATAATAATATTCATTTAAAAAAATTAGCAGATTCATAAAACTATCATATTACTAGACCATGGGCCTTGATGCCCATGATTGGAATTGTTTTTCCTTTGTCCACTACAAAACATCGACTTAACGAAACCGGTCTTCCCTCATACACGTAAAAGAATTAGGTTAATCTAATAATCCATTGGTGACAAACTCGAACACATAATCCATGGAAAACTGATTATCTTATCAAGTGACTGAAAAAAGGCGGTTCCCCGAGATGGTTTTTTGGAATCCATGTCAACGCCGATGGCAGGCGACGAGAAAGGAGTAGTGGTTGGATGTGATGTTGTAGCAGATAAAGGTTGGCCTTCAGTGTTCCAAGGAAAAACGATATCAGTGAAGAAACTTAGTAATCAACGTCTATTGTCAAGGAGATGCATCAAGGTGCTTCCTGTATCTGGGTACAATTTTGAGTCTTGTTTTTATTATTTTAAGACTTTTATAAAAATTGCTTTATATAATGGTATAGATATTCAACAATATTTTATATATTGAAATTTGATTAAAAAAAATTAATAATGAAATCTGAACCCAAAATCATCTGAGAAAAATTAAATTAGTAGTTCAAATTTCAAAACATGGTATAAAATTACTCTCCACAAGTTTTTATATGCTTTGGAAATGATTTTAGAATTAGAATCCGAAATAAAGAAAAACGTGGGCTCGAGAGGCCCAAACGCAGATCCCACCATTACATTTACAATTATGGTTCTTTATTTTTGTCAAACCCAGTTATTATCGGTCTGATTTGCAGTTTTGAATTACAAGACATGTCATAGGTTCGATCTTGGACCCTTTCTTGGCCTTAACCGTTGAGATGTCCCAACACACTGGTGTTCTTGAAGGTGATTCCGCGTGAGGCCGGTTTGGATTGCTTGTAATCAACCTTTTTGCCCAAATATGTATGTATGTATAGATAGAGGGAGGAGCAAACAAGAACTTGGTCAAAATAAAAGAACACAATAATTGCCGAAGCATATATGCTTTTGAACTGAAATCACATGTGATTACGAACACAGTCAACCTACGATTACACAAGCGACTTGGCCAAGGATCTTAGGTCGCAACCAAGGTCACACCAATCACATATGATTACATGTGATTTTAACGTAAAATCACATATGATTTTATTGTTCTTGTATTCTTTTTTTTATTTGATTATTGTTCATGAATATAACAAAAACCGTGATTTAGAAACAAAAATATAAATAGTCGAGTAGACTATTCAATCCTGACCGTCCCACATAGTACTGTCCCTAGGAACCACATGTGACGAAACATTTCAGAACTAACTCAGCGACTTAGGCTAGCAGAGTGGTTTATAGCCCGTTTCTCGTAGGATTTAAGCTTCTCGTGTTTTGTATTGAATAGATTATCAAAAAAAAAAATTAATTTGTTTTGAACTTTCGGTTACAAGTATAATGATGCAATTGATTTCAGTAGACATTAATTGGCCTAGCGGTATCGTAGCTCTTGGCCTTCTAGGAGGTCAGAGGTTCAAACCTCACCATAGGTGAGAAGGGTGTGTGAGTTTATTTGTTGCATTTTACGTATAAAAATATTATATACTTCAAACAAAAAAAAAAGTGGTGGATCTAGAAAGTCATATGATCGGGGGAACACTTACGAGTATTAACAAAATTCAACATCGAATAGCCAATCAGAACCAAATGAGGTTCGGATTAAACGTTTTTGGGTTATTCAATTTTCTAGTTATCTGAAAATCCTTAGTAAGACACTATTATAACACTATTAGAAAATCAGGTATCAGCGACGAA